AAGAATTCTACCTTACTGCAAATAGACCAGTGGCCTACAAATGGTTGTGATTTTGAAGCCTTACCACAACTGAAATAAACTGAAATGTTCTAATAGCTCAAACATGCAGGTAGTCAAGTCTGCATTACTTCCATTACTTCTTAGTTTAAGCATCAGATACTGTGGTACTGCAGTTTTGTGGAAATACTACTAATTTAAGTTGTCCAGTAGCTGAGTACCAGATGACATTTCCAGAGAAGATATTATTTGTCATTAGATGTATTTCATAAACAGCATAAAGTGCTTGAAATAAAAGAGTACTAACAGTAAAAAAATACGGCAGTGTAATACATTATCAGTCCAGAATATGGCCTGAAGATAGTTAGTTGTTCTGCTGCTGAAAGTAAGCAGGTCTGATCTTGTAAACTTTCTGAGTGAGACACGACCTGGGAACCACCTGCTCTGGAGGAAGACTGGGATACAATTTCCATAAAAAAATAAATAAAGCTTTGGGTCACTGCCCAATCTATCTTTGCAACTTTTCTAATGTATACAGGCACTGACACGTGGAAAAGAAGAAAGGGATCAGATAAATGTCATACTTAAAGCATGAACTCCAAACAACTTAGGGAATTGATATTTAAGTGCAGATATAAATGGGTGAACACCTCTTTTTCTCTTTCCCACTGACACAAGAGCAGCACAATACTGATATACTGATCTGCACTTGGAATAGTTTTATTTCATTCTGCAACCTGGTACCACAGACGCAGTTCACTGTCAATTTCAAAAGGTTATTTTTAGGTTTTGCATTCATGACTGTACAAGCAAACTTTGAACTTGCCTTCTGTTCTGCAGTCATGGTAAGGCTTTGCAGTCTGATGGTCATGTTTCCTAGGCTCTGTTCAAATGCTGCTACAAGGTGAGCCTATAAGTTAAAGCACATTATAACAATTATATGTCCTCTGAAGACTTTCAAAAATATTATGCAACATACAGGGAATAATCCACAAATGGCTACACTGTGTTAAAGCTTTCCTCTGCAAGCAGGTAGTTGAACCCTGGGAAGTCCAGCATTCCCGGGATCACAAAACCATAGAACTAAATGGATGCAGAAGCATCGATGTTACTAGTGCTTTGTTACAGCAATATTGAGGACACAGAGTATTACAAACTTCCAGTCCTGGGCACAGAGCTGAGGCCAGGGCTTCAATCAATTCCAGCTGTGTTATTTTGTTGCACAGCTGCAGTCCTGGGCACTCCACTGATCCCAGGTATGTTTATCCACAGTAAGCACGTTTAGGGTGGCTGCTTTAGAAACACGCCAAGGGGAAAGGATCACAGATCTTTTCCCGATGTCTGGCTGGTACAGGAAAGTCTTATGCAACCACCCCAGCATTGCTCACCATCAGCACATAGTTGCCTTATCCTCAGTAACCATTCTCACATTCACCGTGAAAACAACCATGAGGAGTATGATAACACTGGGATATGAGGCTCTTACCCCCTCTGCCCCTTGTAAAAACAAGCCAGCTTTATGCTTGTGAGAAAAATGGCAGAAAATAAAACAAGCTCAGCAATGACTACATGTAGCATAAAGCTGAAATGTTTATTTAAAAAATACTGGAGTAAATGATTCCCGTTTGAAAAGTTGTACCAGCTATTTCAAGCACTAGCAAATACTTTCAGTGCAAATACTGGAATGAATGGGGAGAGAGGAAGGAACAGAGATTTTTTAAGGGGAAAAAATAAACTTTATAGCGCCAGTTAAGGCAATTCTCCTTGTTATTTTGAGATAGCTGGTGTAAAATCAGTCCACAAAGGTAGCAGTACTTGCTGTTTGACAGTTCTTCCATGGTAACACAATCCATTTACGTGCGCACATATGAATACAAACTAAATGGCTTTGACTGGCTTTCAAGTTGTAGAAGGCCTTCTTAGTAAAATTTGACTTGTAATCTCAGCACAGTGGCCAATAATTGAAGGGAAAGAGGAGGGACTGGAAATAAATTATTTTATATTGCAAAAGGCAGCAAGCACAAATTAAGACTTTATCATTCAGCAACCTAACAGACCTGTTAGGTAAACCTGACAAAACCAGTTGACCAATATGCCAAATCCAAGTGGGACTGGCAATGCAATAGTGAAGAACATCTCCCAAGAGGAATTTGAAGTGGTTTTCAGGCCTTTCTAGCAGGGGAATGGAGAAGGGTTGAAACACAGTTCTCCTTCAGGCTTGTTCTATTATTTTATTTATTTAGAAAATTTCTATGCCGCCCCATTCGCCGAAGCCTCTGGGATAGAGCAGCCTTCTCTAACTTGGCATCCTCTAAATGAGTTGGACTCTAATTCCTCTGCACAGACCCACCAACACATTTGAAGGGCAACAGGTTGGGAAATGCTGGGTTAGAGTTGCCAGGCTCAAATGTAAGCATTTTACAGCAACAGAGTGGGAGTTTTATATCCTCCTCTTAATACTTCTAAGATACTTGCTGAAGGAACTGAGCAAGCCAATTTTCCAACCCTGCTATCTTTCAGGTGCTTTTGTGTGGAATGAGTATTTTACACTGAAATCTTAATATCTTAGTCTTAAAAATTACTTAACCATAGACTAAACGACAGGATTTCACAACAATTCAAATCAGCACCATCTTCTAGCAGTAACTTTCCCTTATTCTGTCTTTTTTACTGCAGAAAATTCACTAAAGAGAATTAGTTGGGATAGCTGTACACCATAAGAGCACTAAATGCTCTCCATCTGGCAGTATCCAGGGACTCGGATCTCGTCTGTTTTCTGATTTCTTTGGATATTTCTTCCCCTATATTTCTACACACTCAATATGCCTATTTAGGCATTCTCTAAATAGGTAAAACTGCATATTCACCTTTCTCATTCACATAAATAATCTCCATGGATAGAGGATATACTGCTCTTCCTCAACTAATGTGGAAAAACACAGAGCTGGAACTCTCCCTTATGCCACATGTTTCCTCTAAGCATTTTATTCAGATATATATTGAATTATAAACCTCTATACCTCCAAGTCCTTAGGGAGACCCCCAAATACTCAGAAACAGTGTGGCCCTATTTTACATCCAACAGTAGACATTCAACTATCCAAGATCATAATTAGAAGGAATGCCATTAATATTAAACAAAACAAAAATAAAACAAAACAAAACATGGTGCCAGTTTGTTATGGTACACCAGCAGACGACTTGCTCCAAAATCTGATAACACAGTCCAACTACTCATATGGAACTTTAGCTTTCCTTTTGCAAAAAAGAAAACTGATGTGAGCAAGGGATTTTGTACAAGTTGGCTGCTAGCATATCTTCAGAACTGCTCCACAGTTCTATGCTCTAAGGGACCCATGCACACTTAGGGACCCATGCACAAATAATCATATGCCTTGCTAGTATAGGCTATCTTCCATTCATTTCAATAGAAGCAGATAATCCACACACACAAAAGAATGGATGTAGCATCTATTTTCTTCCATTAAAATGAAGTCTGAAAGTCAAGGAGCTCCATGAGTGCTGTGGAGCTCCAGCACCCGGAAGAAATAAGAGTATTTCCATTTATTTCTAGTTCAAAACTATTTCTGAAACTCTTCTTCTAATTCAGATCACTCCGTGCCATCTGTGATAAGTTCTTCTCTATGTACATTGTACTCACGTTGGCAGTCAATTGTGTTGTTAGTGCTGAAACCTTTTCTTGGGATGCATCCAACTCCCTCCTTAGCTTGCGTATCTAAAATATTCAAAATATTATTGTTTACAAAATGCTAATCGAGATCAAGTAATCTAAAATTAAAAAGTGAGGAAGTGCCATCATTTATAAGCAGCTGCTTTGGAGAAATATATGTAAACCATAAGTAACTTCTGAACTAAATTAGAAGAGACACACTTGAAACAGTTCAAGTTCGGAGAGCTACCACTATTGACAGTAAAAGTATCTGGCACAAGTCACCTAGCAAGATTTATACCTTTTGTTGTATGAATCACTCAATTTTCATACGAAACTCCCAGAACAAGAGTTAGGACCAATGGAATCTTGTCTGACTTACTTGAGAGTGGTATAGGAAGGGATGTCTTCTTTCCCCATTGATAGTCGAGATGTATTTGGAATGCCTGGCATGCGCTATTCAACAAAATCCTAATGTTCATGGATTTATTTATTTACTTCATTTTATACAGTTCAATACACAGAGACTCTCTTGAATTGGTATGCAATATGTTAGAACATAAACTTATTTAGTATCCTGATGAATGTGTATTGTTTATTTTGGAAATCTAGGCATCCATACTGCCTTTAATGGAGATGTTTACCAAATTTGAATATTTATCTGACTATATTAATTGGTCAAATTTGCAACGCATGTCTATTGGATAACACAGTGTGTTATCTAACTAGCAATTTACACTTTATGCTAATTTTATTACTTATCACAGAATATTTGCCCAAGAGACCCATCATAAATGATTAAGTTTAATTTGAGTAAGTTGATTAATGTGGTCTCAAGGGATATTTATAGGTGGGCATCTATAAAGTTACATCTAGGTAGGTTAAATACACTTAAAATGAATGTAGTACCTCAGCTTGTTTTACATTTTACATGGTATAACTTGATTTAGATCTTGCAAAAATTCCCCAAGAAGCATAAGGTTTTGTAAATGTGATTGGTCTCCACTCTAACATGAATACCCTTGAAAAGAATGTAAGTTCTAACTGAAGAGCTGGATTTGGCTTCCCTGACCTTTTCTCAGATAGTGTGTCCCTTCTGGTTGTGACAGCCAAAGTGGCACATATTTTCATTTGTAGTTTGAAATATTTTCACACACAAAATTAGCTTTATGGGTAAACCCAGATTTAAAAACTGGCAAGAGAGTGTTTGGTGGGCGCCAGGTAAAGACCTTTTTATTTAAACATCATTTCAATTGTTAAAACATATGATCTGGCCTGGGCAACTTCTTCTTCCTTCTCTTTCTCCTCCTATATTTTTATTTCATACTGATAATTTTAATTTTGTATTTGTAAATCAATGTATTTTTTGTATTTTTATATTTAATGGTAATTTATTATGTACTATTGTATTTCAATGTATTTTATCATGCTGTAAGCCGCCCCGAGGTTTTGGCAAGGGGCGGCATAGAAATATAATAATAATAATAATAATAATAATAATAATAATAATAATACTAAAAACAGACACACTGATTTTAACTTTAGATCCGTTTATCTGTCCTGATTTTTTTTTTTTAGCAGTTTTCCACTTTTCATGCTAAGTATGAATTGTCAGCTACAGCTACATGGCATTATATGCAATTGAAACATTTGTTAGAATTTAGATTGATTCTGCTGCATTTCAGTTTCACAGCTGCTTGTATTTCTGGAAGTATTGACTGAGGCTGAAGAGCTACACTGGCTACAATTCATGTAGCAGTAACATTTCATTTATTATTGGGGGATAAATATGGTACACAAGGACCCAACCAAGAGTTGAATAATGAATTGGATCACCCCATCTTGTCCAATCGAGTGTTTCATTATTATTAATTAGGCAAAAGGTCATGGATCTTGGGCTATGCTTAATTCAGCAAAAAATGTTGTTTCAAGTATATGAGATGCCATGATGTCTCTTTTACAGGGGCTTAATTAAATCTGCCAAAAGCTGGAGGTATATTACATCTAACCCATTTGTATTTTATCCATTTGTATTGGCAATGCCCACTGGCAGCTTCCATTTGACATAATAATTCAGATAAATCTTGTGATGGAAACTTCTTTAATATTTAGGGACACGTGTTTTTTTGAATTACTTACCCATCTCTTGGAATTTAACACGTTTTTTTCACTCCTTTGACAGTTAAAAGACTAATATGACATCAGAAGGATAAATGACTGCCTGCCATAAAAGAACTGGTGGAGAATTTAATTAAACTTTCAGTTTTTGAATGGCTGGCCTTTAGGTGAAACCTACAATTATATATTTATATTTGGGGTGCCTTTATTGTAATGTTTAATACTGGTAGTTAAGTTCTATTATATATATTGCAACTAGTGCTACAGCTCTTTTTACATTTTATTTGAAAATTGTAATGTTTTAACATTTTTTTTCTTTAGTGGTGCAGCGGGTTTTTGTAGTGCATACTTAAAAATAAATTTAAAAAGTATTTAGTACTTAACTGAAACAAGGCCTCTTATACCTAGTGATTCTTGTGGGAATTATTTTACCATGACTGAAATACTAGCTTAAACTTGAAGAGGGGTTTTTTTAGTCTTTCCCACTATTCTTTCCACTGAACCAAAAGTTTAGACTTCAACAGATGGATTAAATTACTAAATGTGATTTCCCAAACGTCTATTGGCAACTTAGGATACCAGCTCGGTCAGGCACTTCAGTACATTTTACTCTAACATGCTGAAAGGACGTATATTTAAACATACGATGGCTTTAAAAATTAAGCCTCCAACTGGGAAAAGGTGATAGAAAGCAATGCTTTTGCAAAAAGACAGTTCTAAGGTACACAATTAATTGCAGGAACCCAATTGAGGATCAGCTTTCTGAGTCCCAACATTTAATGTAACTCAAGGGCAACAAAATATAGCAATGTGGCAGGGTTAACACCAATGAACATACATATGTAAGAATATCTGGGTTCACCCATATATATCATGGGGTGCATGCATGCCTCCCAGTTGTACTGCTTTGGATATGGGGTCAGCTGATGGGGTAGGCTGGAAGGATTTGCATATGTGGGAAAAGCACGTACAGAAGGGAGAATTCTGTAGAGCATTGGTTTTACAAAAGTCTAGTATCCCCTGTAAAATTCCAAATATTAAAAAGTGCCAACCACTAAAAAGCAGAATGATTAACAGTATTAAGGGAACTGAATTCTTCCTTACCTCTGATTGACATTTTTCTTCAGGCTGGAAAAAAAGAATAAAATGTGCTCATATGAAAAATATATTAAAATAAAAATTAAAATGGGATTAGTTTCGATTTTGGGCATACTGACATCTGTGCAGATATATCAACTTACTCAAGTAGGCTGCTTACATTTAATCAATTTAAGTTTCATAATCCTACATATTTAAGCCAGAAAAAGTTGTATGTCTCCCAGCACTTCCCAGTCAGTCATGCCAATCAGTCTACTAGCAGCAAGTCCCACTGAGTTTAGTTGTATTTTCAATCATATAAGTGGCCTCCAGTTTTCAGCCCAAGTCACACAATTATTCTCATAATGTTCCATGTTTAATAAACAATGAATAAGTGCAGTTATTACTATGGGAAAAGAAAAGAAAAATATGAATAATAATATACATTCTTTTAACCCCATTCTGTGAAGTGAAAGTGTGTGGTAGGTACAAGGAAAACACTCCATAAAGAAGCAGCATTAAAAAGTTTTCTCATACATGAAGTTTTCATCTACTACAGCTTTAACTTGTTATTTCCTGTCCTACCCAGTGAGCAATTCCTTTTAGATCAATTCCTGAAAAACTTAGGACTTGCAGCCCACTGACAAAATTTGCTGGCTTACTGGATGATGGGTTACTCTCTGCCCTGGTCTTTCTAGTCCCAGGAAAGCAGTAAAAAGTAGTAAGTCTATAAAAGCTCCTAATGGCTTTCATTTTGCTGGACAGGTCACAAATTGTTCAGATCTGCTACAACCATGTTGGCCAAGAGCACACCTCACCTAAAAGTATTTTCCGTAAGTTAATTGTATCCAGTTTTCTTTAAGTAAAACTGAATTTGAAGTGAAGTTACATTGTTCAGAATAAATCAGAAAAATCAGATCATTTTGTACACTTAATGGTGCAACCAGCAGTCCCTGGGAGTCCCAGGATATACTGAAGCTAGCTCTTCTCAGGCGGGATGGGGCAGCCTCCCCACAGTGGTGCTGAAAAGGGACCCTTCCTCCTTTGTCAAAGGTCGAGAGAGAGGAAAGGAGCTGCTCCAGAGGTGCAGGTCAGGGTAGAGTTTGGATCAACTGGATCCAAAGTTCTCCTGTTACACTGACATGCTCCTAGAAGTGGGGGCAAAATATGCTAGCACTGGAGCTGACATATTCCATTTCCTTCTTAATGCAAACACACACCCACAGGGGCCAAAAAGAAAGGCATAAAAGGAAAAATACCTCCACACAAGCAAGTGTGCACACAAATATACAATGTGTTAGTGTGAGACTGGCAGAGGTTCGGCATTGGTAGTTTGGCTGAAAGGACTTCTCCCTCGCTTGACTCCAAAGATTGCTCTGCCTGTCCCATAGAAATCAATAGGTCTTGAGAAAACAAATGACACAGAAGTTTGTTTGGTTTTAGTGTGGCTGCAGGGTGGTTAAAATTTCAGGGACTGTGCCCCATTCTGAGCATTCAGACCAACAACTTCTATTTTGTGGCACTCACCGTTGAATAAATGGAGGATGTGCTTGACACCAGAGAGAGGGAAGACCCATGCACTAAAGGAAACAGAAAGCAAACGAATGACTCATCTGATTGCCTGTGCATATGACATAGTAAGGACAGATTATTCACTTGGAATGCTTTTGTGGGTGGAGGGCTAACAATGCATCAGCAGCCTTTCCAAAACATGACATCAGCAGTCATAAACATATTTACACAAAAGAAATCTTTGCAGAAGTATCAAGAAGTAAGCTGAAATAAATGGAAGCATTATACAAAACATTCCCCCAAATGGTCTCAAATAAAGTTTTTTTAATCATTATTTGGATGTAAACATTGCCTGCCTGTTATGTTTCAAACATTACAAAGTTATGATAGTGCATGAAAAAGGAAACAGAAGATGACGAGAAGCAGACAAAGTAAATGTTAAACTGACCAGTCCAGCTTCACCATATGGTTGGCCTGAAGCATAAACAGCAAAAGTGAGTTAAAAGATTTCATAAGTAAAGAAGACGGAATAGTTTGGTGTGAATAATATAGGTAAAGACTTATTTAATTTTCAAGATAGCAGTGTAAAAGAAAAACCTGAAATATATTTGGATAATCCTTTGAGGGGATTAAAAAATTGAAAAATATTCCCTGTGTATAAAATAAGATTTTTCAACTGGTTTAATATACATGCTTTGCTTTAAAAATAACGTTGCTTTGCTTTAAAAATAACGTTGTTTTTAATACTAAGAGTATGCAACAAATTTACAGTACGCCAAATGAAAGTGCCTGAAACATGTATATATCAGCAATTGAAAATACATGTTCTCTTCTCCAGCAAAACTTTGTTGTTATACTTTACTGCTTAGACCATTTTATAACTACATTTGTCAGTGAGGTAAAGGAAGTATCCCTAATGAGGCAATGGACAAGCCCCTACTCATTGGTTTTCCTACCCACCTCCACTGTCTTTACAATAAATGGATGAGAGACAACGTATGGCACAGATCTGAAAATCGATGTAAGAAGCCATGCCACCACGGATGCCATCTTGAAAATTCAAGCCATGATGGCAGCTTATTGCTTATTCTGAACCTGACAGAATTAGGTTGTGCAGGTATTGTTTACCTCATGCACAATCCACCACTCTTGGATATGGATGTCATAAGCTGTAGCCACAGCTTGAATCTTTAAAATGCTGGCTAGCATGTACCACAGTCGACTGGAGTTTAGGATATCAAGCAGGACCCTTTTTCAGACAGACAGCACCATGGGTAAGGTTCCCTCCAGAGGTCTGCACTTTAACAGACTGCCATTTCAGCTCTGAGCCAGAACGGCTGTTGCAAAACAAGGTTTCTGCAATATTTGTTTACTTGTACATCTATCTATTGCCTCTCCATCAAAAAGGCACCAAAGTGATAGTCAATAGAATATTACATCTTAAAGCAATAATAAAGCATGAAACAAAATGGAATTCCTTTGAGGAAGGCATCTGGATTTTCCACAACAATTCAATATAAATACATGTTTTCAGCACTCAATCATTACCGACATCACCATCTAGAAAAGCTAATAAACAAAAAAGAAAAGAAAATTAGCCTGGCATTTTCCTATGCCATCAGGAGGTGGAGGAATGTGCAATTTAGGAATTCTTTAGGAAAGATCAGTACATCTCATGTATCTATCTTCATTTAACTTCACAAAAACAGCTGTTTAAACTCTGATTTCAATCCAAAAATTCAGAGGAAATTGTTAATTTAAGAATGGTATATTTCAATGGGCAACTGATATGTATTAGCACAACTTCATATTAAAATTGTTTTGATGCCAACATTTATAAAAATGAATGTATTTTATCCCAGGTATCACTGGGTTAAGTGTTATGGGGAGAGAAATTACACAACTGTGGCTGACCTTAACTCCTATCAAAAAGGGAATGAAAAAGATTGATATCACATTTATTTATAGCTTTTTATAATCAATTTTTTTCCAGGAAAAAAAACTTTCAGAAACGTGTACAATAAAAATCATTAAAATGTAAACCAATTTATCATTCTCTGTGGCATTTTTCCACCCTTGCAAGGGACAGTAAATCAATGGGATCAGGACCAAAGAAATGAACACCACTATATATTTTTCTAAATGTTACCAGAAAGACAACAGCATTATTATTACTGCTGTTGTTGTTACTAATTGTTATTACTATACTGGCAAATCAGCATTTTACGGTATGAGGACTGGCATGAGGAACCAAATTAAAGCTACTGTTATTAGTATTGTTTTCATTTTTATACCACCCAAAGCCAAAGCAAGCAAGCAAGAATCTCTTCCTGGAATTCTGTTCATTCTCAGAAGGTACAGGCTTCAAGCAGAAAGGGCCAGCTGCCACACACGTCAAGCAAGTTCATCAAGCAGGTAGCAAAGTTGCATGTATCTGAGTTTGCAGTAAATGCACACCAGTATTACATGCCATGGTCTAGTTTGGCATATATTGAAAATTTCTATTTTAAAAATTAGGATAGGTTTTTATTTTACATATGATGTTAAAAACAGCATTTTTATATCTCATAGCCCTACTTTGACCTTTCCATGCACAAATGACAAAATGCATGCGAAAGGCAGGAAGAGAGTAGGAAAAGTGTCAGCTACTAGCACTGTGATGGGCGAGGGTTTGATTAAAGTTGCTTACTTTTCCCTCCCCGTTGCCTGCTGTTCTGCAGGGGGCCCTGATGGAATACTTTGCAACTTGCCCAGACACCCATTTTGGCTAAGGAGTGGGCCAGAAAGCTCAGAAAGACAGAAAGAAAGTCCTCAGCAAGTCCAGCAGTGCAGTTTCTCATGAAGGTTCTTTAACTTGGGAGCTGGACAAATTCTACATAAATGCCTAGATTGCTAGATCAGGACCCATATTTAGTCCTGTTTGAGTACCTGCACATTAAATAAGTTTATTTAGAAGACTGATATGCCAGCTTTCAACTGAATCATAACTCAAGGAGCTTATAACTGTTTATGCTCAACCCTTAGCCCCCTGACTGATAGAAAGGCTCAGAGTACAGTTCTTTTTAGTTCTGCAGTCCCAGGGCAACTGCTGATTGAGACAAAGTGTTCTTTCTAGTAGGCAGGGGGCAAGGACACTTCCTGCATCTGCTCCATCTTTGCCAATGGATGGAGTTGTGCTGGTCTCCCATTTTCCACAATGTTCTTCCTAGGAAGTAGGAAGTTTAACCTCACAGTAGCCTGTTCTCTTGGCAGACGGCACTGGCTTAGACACCAGTGAGCATGTCGGTCATGTCCTCTAGCCAGTTTATGACTGCCATCAGTCTGAAGGAGAGATATGCATGCACATCGGGTTTTATCCAATGGAACACTGTCCTGACTGGAACAGTTCCCTTTCTAGTGGAGGGTCTCCATGTCTGTAACATCCATACTTGCCTAGTTCCTTCACAGAATCATGTAAACTATGCATTTCCTGCAGTGATATTAATGCCTAGAGACAGGCATAACCATGTATTAAATAGTCTGAAGGAATTTACCTGAAGTATTACTTTCTCCCATATATACCTATCCAGACTTTAAGATCTCCTTTTAAGACTCTCCTTTTGGTATCCCCACCAAATCAAATGTGGCATGCAGCTACTAAGAGAGGGCCTTTTCAATAGTGGCACGCCACTTATGGAATGCCATGCTTGCATAGGTGCACCAACAGGATGGTCGTCTGGACACCACATGAAAATCTTTTTGTTTTCTGAGTTTCTGCATCCTTAGAGACTTATATTGCTTTTTAATGTCTTTGCACTAATGTATAGTTCTTGTTATTTTTAAACCATTACTGGCTTTATTTTGCTTAAGATGTCGTGTTTGTATTTTACTTCTTTTTGTTTTTACTGCAAGCAAACCAAAGAACTTCGTTTACTGCAGTCATAAATTTTATTGATTATATGTATTGTAAATAAATTTAAAATTAAAATATAATAATTACCTCCACTGAACTGAATGAAACTATTGTAATATTGTATTTCATGGATTCAGTAACACAACATAATCAAGTTATTCATTCTAATAGCAAGTCTATTCTGGCAATACATTCTATTCTTTGAAATTTATTCCTGTAACTTGAAAATACATTTGTTGAAGGTATTTCCAACTGTCTTTAAAGTGACCTTTACTGGAAAATGAATTCCATGCTATTGTTATAACCCCAAAGTAACTAAACGATCCTTTCTCAAGTAACTTAATTTTATATTCATCAAATACCAAGAATATTTTGTAACCTCTTAGTAGGCCAAAGTATTTACATGCCTGAAAATCTGAGTACCAATAGTGCTGTTACTCTTACATGCATATTAAATTACTATGGGTCCAATATTACACTTGGCATAAAACACTTATTTCATTCTGTAAGTTGACAGTTGTTCATTTCTATTAAAGATTGCCAAGGAATTAATACAGTTTTAAATGCTATCATAAATGAAAGTAGCAAGTTTACTGTTAGTGTAATATGCAGCAAAGGGCAAAGAAAAAATCGTACAGATTAAAGATTTCATACTTTAAAATGGAATGCAAGAACTAATGTAGGGAAAAGCTGTATCTTAACTCATTGCATTACAATCCCTAATTATTTTATTTCCTCAATGAAGAACAGTAATAAATGGGGACAGTAATTTTGACCCCAGAATATAGAACCAAAATAGCCAGCTAGCTTTAGTGTGATGATATTAATTGAATTTTTTTTTAAAAAAAAAACCCATCCTTTTTATTCAGACAGCCAGTTTCTTGGCATCAGTGCTGCTTCAAAGGAAAATCCTCTAAAACCTGCATGTCATAACCTTCTCCAAATTAAATCACTATTGATAACTGCAGATATCCACAATCTACATTCAGCTGACAGTATGCGTATGAACCCTAAACTCTTGAAAGGAATGCTCTACACTGTTCAAGTTATGAAATGACAACCTGGACCTTTTGGAACTGAAATGGGAAGGAAAGGCAAGAAATGTTAGAAGCTGTCAAAAGCACTGCATGGAATTCTTAATATTTAGGTAGCATCAAAGACGGGAGCAGTAAAAAAAGTACTGGAGGCTTAAGATGCAAGGACAGAAACTAAACAAGTCCTTACACATTCAGAAAGGAACATTCTGTAATCAGAAGCAATAGAGTTTTACAGCGTATTTCACAGTATCTGATATCTGAAATAAACTAAACTGTTAGAAGTTTTAGATTAATTAACATTGTATTAATGCTTGAATGTTTTCTTCATACAGGTGCAGTTCTTTCCTTAGCTGATTTCAACTAGGAACTTGATCCAAAGTTTGAGAAAAGGTCTCCCACTCACTTACCTTCTTCAAAGCCATCCCGGAATGATCCAGAACGGCTCATAGTCCTGCTCTTTTCATCCAGTGACATTGAGCTATTCCGGAACCGGGTGTCGCTGTAGGGATCATAAGGGCCATCCGCATTAGAGAGACTGTGCGTCCGCAGCATGGTTGGGTTTGACAAGCTCATCTGGGCTGCTGTGGTAGGGCTTGCTAGAAAGCAAGGCAGACAAAGAACATTTGCAAATCTGTGCACATGCATCTACCAAATCAACACTACTGCCATGAAATGGTTTCAATCTCTGCCTATCTCTCTCTGCAAATTCTATCCTAATAGATAGCCACACATACTAAACCAAATTACCCAAAAAAAAAAAAAAAAAACCCAGCTTCCATAACAAGGTTAATTTCAGCATAAAAACTGAGTTCTTGGGAAATTATTCTAACTTTGGGCTTGCGTGTTTTACGTTAGTTTGCGTACTTCTTCATTTTGTCCTGATTTCTGCCATTCTCCTCTCATATTCATTTTGGAGTTAGTTGGGTTATAGGTTACATCTGTATCTGCCCATGCTACAGCCCTAGCTTTGAACAGCAACCAAGGCACGTATACAGAAGCAGAGGCAACTGAAATTTCCTACAAAACTGGATCTTCAGAACCCATCCAGTGATACCCTGGGGATGGAACACTTCCTTCCTGTGAAACATCACTACTCCTAATCTTAAGGGCCTCCTGATCTTCACCCTATCACCTAATGAAGACGACAAGAAGAAATAACCAGAAACAATACAATGCTCCATGCACAAGAACCAGCCCTTTCACTCTGGTGACATCCAAGCTAGATTGTTATAATGTGCTCTACAAAGGGCTGCCTTTAAAATGGCTTCAAAAATTCAGCTAGTGCAGAATGCAGCCACCCACATATTGCTAGGGGCTGGGCAGTTGGCTGTGATATCAATACTGTGGCAGCTGCAAAAGATCCTATGGCATTTATAAGCCCAATTTATCTTGTACACTACCTTGAGGGGGTTCTAGCCTTAAAGCTGGCCTAAAACCAATTTAAATTAAAAAGAACATTAAATATATCTATTCACATCAGAGGGGGTATTAGGTATTAGGAAAGAGAGGCTGTAAGGGCTCAGTTAGGCTACACACTATGCAGGAGCAACAGTGTCAGCTTGGAGCTGTCCAAGGTCCTTCTGCTCCAATACTAGTAGCAAGAGCTGTATAGATGCCAGCTTGTTGACTGTCAAAAGCTGATTCTTTCCCTATCACCCATAACTTCTTCATGAATCATAAACTCCAGTAATGTCTAGGAGAAAAGTAAACCATAACTTGAAAACTTTGTTTTAATTATGGTTGCAAACCATGCTTTTGAGCTAACTCAGGTTAGGAAAAACACCGGTGCAGATGCAACCCAAAGCATAATCAGCTTCAAAAATGTAATGGAGACAAACATTGTAAGCTAAAGCAAGGAAGAAAAGAGAGACTAAGTTCACAGGGCACACCAAATCTCTGAACTACAGTTAGAAAATTGGGCAGAATGTCTACACTGATCTAGTAAGTTTCAGTTGGCAAGCTACTTCAGACAAATACAACCTCACAGGAATCAATCACCAGGCGATATGGAATTAGCTTGCTGTCAAACTAAACCTATTGATCCAAAGTAAGCGGAAGGATCATTTCTACACAGAATGAATGTCATTTGTTGTTAACTGTATTTTCAGGAATCAAAGCTTTATTCTCACTACCCTATAGATTTAGCATTAACAACAAATCCAATGGAATCAATTTTCCAGTAAGGCTAGTGAATGTGCTCATTGAAGCCGATGAATTTGAAAGAAACATAAAGCAGCCCCTACTAGAAGCATACATGCCAAGTAGCTCAAGAATGGCTTGGCTTCCTTCTTCCATCCCTATAAAGTAACATGGATTCCAAATAAGCAAAAATAGAGAAAGAATAGGCAATAGGGTTCCTTCTCCATTGTTGATTCATCTGCCCTATGCAGTCTATACTGATGAGCAGTAACTTTCTGAGTCATTCTCCACTGTGATATGTGTTCTTTTAACTGAAAAGTCTAAGGATTGAAATTTGGAATTTCTGCAGGAACTGAAGCTGTCATGGAGCTAAGGAGCCCCACTTCCAGGGTTCATTACAAATGTTATTATTAAATTATGATAAACTAAGATTGCCATCAAGTAGAATCACCAGGATGGGGCTTAAATTTGGTCATCTCAATACAGCATGCCATTCTGTTGCTATCATTCACATCCCAGTATTCTTTTAAGGGGAAACCAATTCAGCAATTCTTTGACACCAGCAAAGTAAGCAACCATTTATTTTTATCACTTTTGTCACTAGAGATCAACCATACTGGTAAGGGCCTTATTTTATTTATTTGAGAATGGTCATAACTGCATGAATTTATGCTTTACAGCAGTAACTTTTAAGAAGAATAAAGTGAATTTAAAGATGAGTGAACAATACCACTCCTCAACACCTCCTGTAAAGCACAAAAGAATGCATATGAACTGATGAATGGAAAAAATCCCAATTACCCATGTTAGTCACTGAATATTAGTATTATTTATTTCATTTCTATACCACACAATACCTAAAGCTCTTGGGGCAGTTAACAGTGGTTGCAAAATACTGTAAAAATGTTAACAAAATATAGTTATGTTTTTTCCAAATTTCTTTTTTATTCTACAGTATTGCAGAAAAAAACATACCTATGAGTTATCACTGTAGAGGTAACAGTCACAGGCTAACCTTGTATGAAACAATTAAATGACAAAAGTGCCTAGTCTACATTGTCTATGCTTTTTAAAAAGTTTGTACTCGTGTCAATGAAATGCTGGAGGTTTTCCAACGGATCTACATATATCTAGGATCTAGGTAGGGCAGTCTGCATATTGATGCTAACCAGGGTAAATCAAACTGTACAGTATGTTCATCCAGCCTGAAGGTAGTATCCAATGGTGGTGCAGCATTAGCACTAATGACATTGAGTGAGTGTAAACCAATGCTGCATCATTAGCACTTGCCAAGCTATTACAAATGGAATAACAGTCATTTGCCACCGATACTTTTTCCCTTCTCACAAGCAGATGCTAATGATGCTGCCCTGGCACTGGTTTATGCTGATGCAATGTCCTTTGACCTAACCCATCACCACATCAGATACTGTTTTGAGTATTATTTATTTATATTTCAGGATATGCTAAAGATACAATCTCATCCACTACTATATCTATTTATGGGTTGACACTGTATTGTCACAATTACTTTAATGCACAAAACAAGCTACTAGATGAAATGACTGCTTCAGTTTAGTAGAATGACATGGATGTAGCACACTTCTATTAGTTACACAACACAACTGTTATATGCAATGTTCATGAGTGCATGTCTAGCTTTTCCATAGTAGTTCTTTATACTGCTTGCAACCCAATGACAGATTTCTTTTAAAAAATCAACAAAACCAGAATAAAGTTTGTTAATAAAGACATCATTTTAAAGGAGACACCAGCTACTTGAAATGTACAAAAGAAAACATGCACATGTGTTCCCATTATACTTGTAAGTAACTTATATGGAATAAGGCATTTGCAAAGAATGGATGTAGCCTGTAGTAAGATGCCAGCAGCTGTCGCTGTGGTTCCGGTGAACTTTAACAGGATAGAAGACAGGAAACCAACAGTGTCCAGGAATCCAAAATATGAATGCTATGGCTGTTAGGCCACGAGCTGCTAATGTTTTGTAAACCAGAAAGCCCTTTTATAGCATGGATGAACAATCAGTTTAATAGTATCTATCGCTGCTAGCAGCTATGATCAAGCAAGAGCAGTAATCATTGCAAGAGCAGGAATACATGATTCTTTTGCCTGTAATAGTGCATGGCTCATTAATAAACCCACTTCACTTATCTTAAAGGCTTTATGAGTTGCTAAACATTCCATCCTTGACAATGGGCATACTGTATATAAAGCATCACACTAAGATGCAGGAAAAAACTGAATACCAATAATTTATTTTGGGAAATATTTGATTATTATAGCATATTATCAGCAGACAGTTGTGCAGACAGAGATATCACAAAGAGATTTTCATTTATGGTGAAGAAAAATAAGTGTACTATTACTTTTACGTCACAGATTCATAGAATCATAGCATAGTAGAGTTGAAAGGGGCCTAGAAGGCCAGAGTCCAAAGCTCTGCTCAATCCAACACTCCAAGTTAAAGTATCAATGACAGACAGCTGTCCAACTGCCTCCTGAATGCCTCCCTAGGTAATTGGTCCCACTGCCATACTGCTGCAACAGTCAGGAAATTCTTTTCCTGATGTCCAGCCAGAATCTAGCTTCCTGTAACTTCAGCCCATTTTTCCATGTCATGTTCTTTGCCATGACTGAGAAGACAGATCCTAGCCCTCATCATGTAACAGCCTTTCAAGTATCTGAAAAGTGCTATTTTTCTTCTCCAGGCTAAACATGTCAAGTTCTTTCAACGTCTCCTCATAACTCCCTCCAGCTTACCGACATACTTCTTCAAGTGCAGTGCCAAGAACTGGAAGCAATACTCAAGCAATACTCAATACTCAACTAGTGCTGCAGAGAGAGAAATCACAGCACCTCATGTGAACTGGAAGCTATATGTCTTTTAATACAGACCCAAATAGCATTTGCTTTTTTGTAGCCATATCACACTGTTGGTTCATATTCAGCTTTTGATTTACCACCATGCTGAAATCCTTCTCGCTTGTAGTATGGTTGAGCCAGGTATCCTCCATCTTGTAAGTGAACATCTGGGTCCTTTTTCCTAGGTACAGAACTTGGCATTTGTTTCCATTAAATTTCATTCTGTTGATTTCAGTGCAGCACTCCAGCCTATCAAGATCACTCTGAATTGTGTTTCTGTCTTCCAGGGTAATGGCTATCCCACCATGCCATGTTTCCATTACGAAAAGCAAATTATTCACTCACCAAGTTGGGAGAAGTTAAATCTAGTCCCAGAAGGAGATGTGATGCTGGAACCAGAAGAAAATGGGGAATTGACAACAGTATCTTGAAGGCCTCCAGCAGAATGTGAACGCAGCCATTCTTTTGCTTCTTCTTGATTACGAAGTTGCGATGATGGAGTATACCTGCACAAAGAAAACTTGCTTTAGCTTTTGAGCAGGAGAATTTTGCTTACCCAAAATCCAAATGAATAAAAAGACAAAACACCTCAAATAAGTCTCCTGCCTCCTAGAGTACACATTTTTACTCTGGACTGCATGAACAGAATGAATAACTAAGTCTTACACACTTTCCCAATTCTGAACAGGTAAGATTATATGCATAGTTACTAACACTTAGAGCAGATCCCATGAAAGCAATGGGACTTAAACTGGCCATGACCAGTCATCTAATTACTACAAAATCTGTATCTAACCCATTCATTACAAGAAGGAAAGCTCTGGATTTCCTTTTAAAGGCAATGCTAAGATTTTACAAATGTCTCTGGTTAACTGACTATTAACCTGTGAAGTGCTTCTTTTCAGCAATGTTATTTGCTATAGTCTGATCATACAAATGCCAAATAAACTGTTGGCAAGAAAGGTCTCAGGGGACCCTAAAAACAAGTCAGAGTGAAGCAAAATGCAATTTGCATAAGTATGTGTGAGAGGAAATAAAGTGAACATGGATGTGCTTTCAGATGGCTAGAATTTAGAGAATTGCATCTGTCTTGTAAATAGTTACTCATACATCTACCTATAGAAGTGTTAACAGTCTCAGGGAAATCAGTGTCTTTTTTCTGTTTAGGGAAATTTGTGGGCACAAACACTCATAACAGAAAACCATTGCTCCAATTCATACAACATGACTGCCCATTGGGTTAATTTACCCTTGAAGAGCTGTGGTGCAGGCTGGCTGCCAATGTGACTATGTAGGCTATGGCTTGTGCAAGAGTTGTTTAGCCCTGAAACAACTCCCACTGGCTGAGCTCACATAACACACCAAGCCTCCCTTGAAGACTGCATTTTGATAATGGCTGGCAGCACAAGGGTAAATTTACCCATTATGGGTTGTTGTGTTGTAAGAATCAGGTCACTGTGATGCAGAAGCTGGTACCTCATAGGGCAGTTATGAAGAAAATATGGGTAGTTGAGGAGAGGCAGGGAACAAACAACCACATACAGGTTGGTTGAGCTTGCAAGGGCGATGGAATTTATAAATAATAGAATAACTGAGGTCTAATGATATTTGAAAGGCAGATAGAAACTGTACTTGAAAACACAAAGCATAAAATACAAGAAATAATTGTATTTAAATGCTTTATTTATAAGCTTTATGTACACCTTTTAACTCTTTTTCAGTATCTTTAGGGAAGGCCTATTTATTTGCACATAAGGATTTTGTGCATATATAGAGTGATTATCATAATCACTTGTTAATCTTTAGGTGAAGTCCGAGATGAACCGAGGATGCAAAAGAGGGTAGCTGGCAACACTACCTTCTTCCTGCCCTGAATTTCCAGTATTAGTTTCTGGTGTAAAACATTAAAGTTATTCATATATATAGATCAGTGAAGGGTGGGAGCCATAAAGAAGCATTCAGGTTTTAGTACGACATGTGAAAGAACAAATTGCAAGTACCTACCTCTTAGACATTCAATTTTTTTAAAGTTTTAAAATGGCATTTATTATTAGCTAAAGACATCTAACAAACACAGAAAACAATGCAGATCAATCACATAACTGTGCCTCCCCTTTCCAGGTTTTACAAAATGCGTTTAGCACCCAGCTCAGTGAAACAATCAAAGCTGCTGCAGAGAACAATGCACTTATCGCACAGAATAAATTGCAGCTATAATTTAAAGCCATCAATTTAGTTATCATAAAAAGCAGCACAATCCAGTCTGAGTTGAATTTTTTCTTAAGTTAGCCCAAGATTTTAATGGAATTAGTGTAGCATTTTTTAATCTGAAGCACTCTAGGTTAATAAATCTAGTACGTCTTTATCAATAGAAGGAAGCATTCTTCTCAGTGTAATTTCTTTTTATCTCAAGTCATCTACATTATATGATGCGTTTTTGGAGGAAACATTTATGGAGCACTTGATTGGCTTGATTCTTTCTTTGTGAAGTATAATTAGAGCTCCAACTACCACAGAGCAAAATCTGCACTTTTAGTGACCTCCAAATTCCTCTTGATCTGCATTTCAGAAGTTACACTGCGAAAACAGCACCACCCTTTAACCACTTCAGCCATAAAGCTGCAAATTATTGCTTGCAAATCAAGCCCACTGATGATTTGTGAGATGCTTTTTGAAGAGCCAGACAGCCAGCCAGCCACAGTTGCATTCCCTGCTCAAGAGGAGAAGCTATCAGATGAAAAGAAGCATGTGGCACAGGAAAAGGGAGTGACAACCTGCTTCAAAGAGGCTGGGTGAGGAAGGACAGGGAAGAAGAGCTTGCAGCCACTTGACTGCAAAAGCAGAGACCACCACCACCAGCACTACTGACGGCCACAGACACACAAAGCCAAGCTCCAAAAACCACATGGAAAACTGCTTATGCTATGCGGAAACACCAATACCTGAGTCCTTTCTTAGGCAAAGTATTCCTATCAAGATGTGGGTCACTGTAGAAAAGTTAAAAGAAAAGTACTTCAGAGAAGAACAAAAGGGGAAGATTAAAGATCAGCTTGCAAAGAAGAATATACCATTAAGCAGCTGCATCATGGTACTGGAAGAAACAGCAAGAGTCCCTGCCAAGGCAACATGCAAAGACCGTCTAAGCACGTATAGACTGTGTTATACAGAACATGCACAAGGGAACATGCTAAATGAAATTAACCCTGAGGCTTCAGTCCACAGACAGTTTAAATGGCTATAAGCACTTTTCTTCACTTCCACAAAAGTGACTGGACAGGTCTTTTTAACATGACATATGCATGCTTCACGTGAATGCTTTCAGAACACAAAGAGCATTAAAATAAGAGGGTAGTAGCCATCTCCAATGATAATGCTGAAAAAAATGCTTAAGGTTTATTATTCAGCACAGTCCCTTACTTCCAATATGAAACACTGGGAGGTCTTCTATTTTCACATGGGAATAATTGGAAAAAATCTATCAACACACATTTTGAAAGGCAAAAAAGACTGCTTACATGACCAACCAACAAATACTTGGACTTGTTCATTCTTAGGGGAGTGGAGGTGCCATTTAAGTAGGCTGTGGTTCAGACCACATGTGACTATACTTTAATATTTGAATATTCTGCATGCACAATTTAATAAATTAACACATTCGACTGATAATCATAAATTATCAAAAGTTGTGCACTTGGCAGGCCTGCCAAAAGTACACGTACTTTGCTTTAGTAAGAGTGTGACTGATGTGTGTTGATATCTTTGCTATATATCATGAATCATTAAAGGGTTCAAATATACTGGTTTTTTAAAGTACAGCAATATGCAGTTTGGCACTGGTGCTATACAAATTACGTATGCTGCATTAGAGGTTGCCTATGCTGGCCACTCGTGCCAAATCAGATACTGTCTCTTATCTTGGTAATTAGCCTTTAAACCTAGTTGAAATGTTTTCACCATGCTGAAATATCCTGGCCCTCCCATCAAGTGAAATGAAACAATGCCAGTGCAAGTAACACTGAGAAAAGTCTAACAGGGCTATCGAGTGTCAGATGAACTCAACACAGATGACAACAACACTTCTGATGCACTTGGATACATATTTGCTTCCCTGCATTCATTTTCAACAGAAAGGAATACACTCACATTATATAAAGCCTGCAAGACTCCCACAAGCCAACCTGAGGTGAGCAACTTATAACTAGAAATGTATTTCAGCCATGTTGGGAGAGGGGATCAAAAGAAAAGGTGATACAACCTGCAACATGGGGGAAAAGCAGCATGCCACCAGAGTGCTGAAATGCTAGTGAGAGTTTAAATTCATTGGTAAGCATGTAGAACTGTAAGATTGCAATAGGGGTCTTTTGGTTCTCGAAAAATGCTACATTTGCCAGTTTTTCTGCATGCCACTCTGAAAAGGAAAAAGTGAGCACAGCATTGTTAAATGGACTCTCACTGGCATGTCATTGAGTGACAGTTTCTACATCCCAGTGAAACACACACACACAGTCTTCAATAAGCACAGTCTTACACAATACATTTGGGGTTGTTAAGTGCCACAATGAGCCCTCTTGGGCCTTGTGCATTCTACTGCCCTGAGACAGCATTACCTGTCCTGTCTCCTGGGTAAAGTATTTCTGCAGAATTTGGGACTAGCAGCGGGGGAAGAGAGAGGGCTAGAAGAATAAAGTCCAACAAGACAACAAAACAAAAACAAAACAAAAAAGAGAGGAATATTAGCACAAAAGGAAGAAAGGGAAAAGGCTGTTTAAAAAAACTATTAAGAGCTTTCAACAGCTGTTTTATGTTACAAAGCTAAAGAAAACAAGACGATTCTAACAGTGGAGTGAGTTATACAGCAAGGTCAGACAAGCTCCAAATTGTTTCAGAATGGTTACACTCCTGTGATTTTCTCTGAAGCCGCATTTAGGATCAGTTCCAACGTTTTCACTTTGTAGTTTCATATCTAAACAGAAAGGGGTTGAATGAGATGCCATCACTTTCTGAGAGGGATCCTGAAGACGTGGATAGATTGTCATCCCATTGCAGCTATACCTCCAAGAACGAGGTTAGAAGCTCTACTGCCCAGCAGATCTCTATCAAGCTACAGGACCCTTACCATGTAGGTATCATTCCAACAGCAAAACAATCAGATGGTGGGCTGGTATGAGGGACCATCTGATTTATTTGGTGAAGCAGTAACTGAAATGGATCTGGCAAAGACCTGAATACTGCACTGAAACATTTTGGGGGGCAAATAAGGAAGGCAGGGGGCCACTGAGAGCACTCTGACAGAAATGCTTTTACATAGGTCAACAAGCCACCCAAATTCCACAGTCCCAGTGTTGGCAGATAGCACATCACACCTAAGTTCTACAGAATGCTCAGCACAATGCTAGCATTAAATAGAGAGATCGCTAAACAAATAAATAGTAATACAGCAGGCCACAGATGCAGCAGCACGAAACGAAATGTTCATACTATAACCTGCAAAATGTTGCTCGTAAGTGGAAGAGTGCATTTGTTTGATTCCAGTACTTCCTACTGTTGCCCTTCTTTTAGTACGTACTGCCTCCCTTCTAACATGATCCACTCATCAATTCAAAACAGTGATAGCAAGCAAGCACGATTGATATAGTTCATTTTTGTTGCATGAACAAGTCTACATAATGAATGAAAAAAATATAATAGCGGTAAGTGTGTAGAACATGCTCAACAGCTATCAACAGACAAGAGTACTTAGGGTGAAGTTAAAACGTATCTTCACACTGAGGTTGCAGATTTTAAAATGCAATTGAATCAGCTGGAGATCTGAAAATTCATGACATTCAAGCAGGTGTGGTTAGGAATTTTAATCCTTTTCTATTCTTTGGTGGGATTTTCTGAACAAAATTCCTGTTCTCAATCTAGTTATCACAAGGGTACCAAATGAGGATTTTCCCACTAAGCAAATGCTACCTCCAGAGGAACTGTTTTTCTGATAACAGTAAGCAAAGGAGGAAAATGCATTTCCATGTCTGGCCAGATCCTGTTCATTATCAACCTCCATGCAATAGCAATCTGCTTATTTAAAAACCTGCACCTTATATGCATTGATGTATTTGATGTTGAGTTTGGCCCCTCGTATTTCCAAGTACTTCACATATACTATGTAAGTTTACCAACAGGCCAATATCACAAATCTTAAGTGAAAAATGGAAGATTAAAGCAGATAGGAATTTATGCTTGAGATCAGATATTAATCGCATGCTTTCTGACTCAAACCTCACATCCTTAGGAACTATGCTTTGACAGCTCTTCTGACTTAAACTTTACCTAAGACCTAATGACAACCTTGACTATTTCATTAACTTAATTTATTGTATGCTGGTGTGATACTGGCTCTGTAGGAGACAGGAGAACAGAAAATGCACCTAGCTGATAGACATGACAGGCAAGCTGCAGTCTTCAGCTGTGACTCAATAGGAAATAAAACATATTTTTCATAGGTCCCACATTAAGTCAATATGTATGTTACACCTCCTATTGACTAGTATGTTGATAACAATTAGAGTAATCAAATATTTGGCCTTGCCTCAGTTCATATTTGTGGCAGTTCTTGCTTCATCATCTGAAAATTTAAGGGTTTGGTCTAAGGTTTTTGCTTGACAATCAAAAAAAGATCTATGGATGATTTCTTGAAGGAAAGATATATAACTTTTTTCATTGCAGATGTTCAGAATCCCCAAGTTATCTTAAAAATACTAAGAAGACAATAGGCTGAATGATGGTAACTCTCTAGATCAGAAGTATAGAATATTCAACCTAGGGGTCAAATCTGGCTTACCTGAGATTCCAATCTGATCCTATGAAATTTCTTAGATGGGCATCCCTCCTTCCCCTGGCCCTACAATCTCTTCCCTAATGACCAATATTTGGTGGTATCTTGGCTTTTGTGCAGTATAAAAGGTTGTAATGTCTCTCCTAAAGCTTAGTTATTGGTAATCAGAGCTTTATGCTAAAATAGGCTGTTACCCCCCAACCCTGGTGTTTAGACCTTGAGCCATTTGCCTTCAAGCTCACCCAGCTCTTGAATGCAGCACCTGAAAGTTTCTCCAAATTAAAAGGAGATTCTGTACCACTATCCTAAATCAACCAATGTTTACACGAAAACAAAACTTCTCCCATACTAATCCTCATGAAACCCAACAGAAGAACCTAAGACTTATTGATGTTACTTATGGTAGCTGCTACCATCCAATGGGACTTACTCCCAAGTCAACATGTTATGATCAAGCTACTGGTTACCATACCCATATCAATACCAAGAACACTTACATATACAAATGCATACAAAAACTGGACAAATGCCTTCTGAATTTTTTCCTCACCTTTCTGACAATGTTGTTTTAACACTGTTGGTCCTAACAAAGGGAGTCAACGAGTCATCTTTAGAAGCTGCAATCAAGCCACTGGAAGAGTTGTGGCTCAGCCCGCCTCCACTGCTGAGAGATATATCAATGGATTCACAACTGGTGTGCAGGCTGCTGACAGACTGGTATCCAATCCCATCCTTGCTAACAGCAGAACTACTACTGGCATTAGTACCCCAGGTTAAGCTGTTGGAAGGAGCCGAATGAGCAGAACTGGGACTAGATGCTAATGGAGATGGATTCATGTCTGCATTTTTACTATAGAGAGGGCTGCTACCACCACTGCTGAGTATGCCACTGCCAGAAGGAGAATCCAGGTTCCCTTGCTGGTTCATAGTTGCATGTGGGTTTGAGATGACCACTGAATTTTTCATGCTTTCTGCTGTTGTAATGGGAGCTTGTTTACTTGGTTTTCCACCAAAAAGTCTAAGGAGTGAAAAACAGAAAAGGCAATCAGGAAACCAACATTTCAGAGGATATTTTGTTCTATCCATTGCTGCGAACACTACTAATATTCCCCAAGTATAATCTGTATTCAGTCACCAGAAAATTAGTGGCTGTACACCACTGCATGATAAATATGATGATAAAAACCTGAATGACACATGATTGTTCCCTTTCCTGTTTCCTTTCTTCTCCCTATGCTCTGTGCTAATTTCACTGAAAGTTGATCATATGGAAAAGCTGTATACAAATAAAGTGGTTGAATATTTTAAACTTTTGCCCGTATTAGTGCTGGGTATACCAACACTGGGAACATGTATACCTATAGATTATGTACAGTCTTCCTACCAATAGCAGAATTACTATTTATTTGTTTATTTAAAACTTTCATATGCCATCCCCTCATGCCTCGGCATCTTGGCATGGCTTACAACATAGAATGAAAACAATAAAACAGTAACAGTAAAATTATATAAAAACCAAAACAAAAAAGCGACTGTTAATGACTAGTTCTTTTCCAATTACCAACAAAGTTATTCAGTGTGATTTAACTATTAAGCTTGGTGTGAAAAATATTATCAGACTATTAAATATAAATAGCATGGTTTCCTGTTTTTCCCTCATTGCAAATGTAAAACGAAAATTTCTTTTCACAAGAGCAAGTGTAAAATGGCAGGGTAACTATGAATTTTTCTTAGCTATAGCCCTTCAAAGAAATGATTTCATTTCATATCCCAAGGGTCAGGAATGGAAACCTGAATATAAATTCTCCCCAGCTTTTAAATTCCAAGTTTTACCCAAATGAAGGATCTGTACATACCTGCGCAAAGTGGGAGAGGCGACATCTGGGTACTTGACTCCTTGCTGGTGAGTGTTCTGGGCTGCATTAGATGCTGCCTGAGATGCTGGGTTCACTTTAACAGAATTACCAGAGACCACACTTTCATTGTCTGAAGAGATCCCTTTCTCTTTATCAGTCTGGTTGATTAAGCCCGGCAAAGAGCTCCCAAGGGCAACTTTTGTTGGCTCCCTCATCTTAGGAACAGGCAAGCCTGCTGATTTGCTGCTAATGTTGGAGTCTATGCTACTAGTGCTGGATCTATTGCCGGCTCCACTTCTGCTGCTGGATTTGCTGGGCCTGGGTAAACTCCGGTACTGAAGATTGGTCCGAGTACTAATAGCTAAGTAACCATCATCCTGATTCTGTGATCCATCAACACTAGTCTTCCGACCAGTGGACCTCCCCATGAGTCCAGATGACTTGGGGATTTTGCCTAGAGTAGCAGATCTACTTGTGATGGTTGCCCCACTAGCTGTTATCATGGTCATCCCTACAGCTGACCCACTCTGTTTTTTAAATCCAAATGTATTTGTATTGGCCGTAGCTGCCCTACAATTATTTGCAGAAGGCTTTTTTGATTCATCGCCACTGCTACGTCCAGCATCGGATGGGGAACGTTTAATGTGCCCAGATTTGGGAGAAATTCGACCCTTTTCTGAAACCTTGGCATCATCAGTTTTCCCTAGAAAAACAAAGAATGAGTTCCAATGTTGCATCATGCCAAATATTGTCCACATGGTGAAAAGAAGTCTGAAAAAGCTTAAGTACACAAGCTACAAAAGCACAGGGGAGCATTTGGAACTTGCTTAATTAGTTGCAAATTGAGAATAGCATACCTTGGTATGTCAGGAAAGCATATCTAATGTGTTTAATATGAAATTTGAACAGGTGGACAAATTGCTAAAAAGCCAGGGGCAAGCAACTTGTGACCCTCTGGGCTACAACTCCAACCATCCCTCACTGGAATGCCTAACACTGAAGGATCATGAGAGTTGTAGGCCAAAACACCTGGAACACCATAAGTTGCACATTTCTGATATAAACCAAATGAGGAATAGAGAACACATTCTAGGGAACTTCTAATCACTTAGCAGCATTTTCAAAGAGCATCCCAAATATGAACCTATACATAGCTACTTAGAAGCATAAACAGCATGTCTACTCACAAGTAAGGAGGACAAAACTCTGCAGGACAAACTTTAAAAGTAAGGAAGATTTTATCACTCAAAAGCTTGCTTCCTAACCCCTGCCTCTTCTCCCCAAGCAGGGAAGAGGTGTTCTCTCTGATCAGATCTGATTATTTTTTCCTGTAGTCTTAGTAAGAGAGGCAGCATTTTTCAGCACTCAGCAGAGAAAAGCGTGTCCTTGATCAGCTGTTGTTTGGAGAGAAAAACTTTTCCCTGCTAGAGATAAGGGATATTGCTTAATAAGGATGCTGATGGGCCAAACTCCCACAGACGACATGGGACCCAAGACTGAGAGGTTTCCCATGCCTGCTCTACAAATTCCTTTCCCTGAGGCAAAAGATTATTTCCACAAAAGGAGGACGGGAAACAGATAGTTTTCTCCCATTCACATAGAGCTGTTGTTGTTGTTAGTCTTGAAATCGTGTCCAATCCATAGCCTTGACTATACGCACTTTTGTTGGCAGAGTGATGTCTCTGCTTTTTAGTATGCTGTCTAGATTTGCCATAGCTTTCCTCCCCAGGAGCAAGTGTCTTTTCATTTCTTGGCTGCAGTCCCCATCTGCGGTGATCTTGGAGCCCAGGAAAATAAAATCTGTCACTACCTCCATTTCTTCCCCATCTATTTGCCAGGAAGTGAGAGGACCGGATGCCATGATCTTAGTTTTCTTAATGTTGAGTTTCAAGCCAACTTCTGCGCTCTCCTCCTTCACCCGCATCAAGAGGCTCTTTAGTTCCTCTTCACTTTCTGCCATGAGAGTGGTATCATCTGCATATCTGACGTTGTTGATCTTTCTCCAGGCAATCTTAATTCCAACTGGTGATTCATCTAGCCCCGCCTTTCTCATGATGTGCTCTGCATATAAGGTAAATAGGTGGGGCAACAGTATACAGCCTTGCCAAACTCCTTTCTCAATTTTGAACCAATCAGTGGTTCCATGTCCAGTTCTCGCTGTTAGCCAATTTTGTTTGTGGTTAGCCAACCATGATTAATAATCAACATTTCAACGTCTAACTATGGTTCAGCAAGCCACAATTAATCCATACTCAACTCCTCAATATGAATTACCATGTTGTCTGAACCCAGTCATTGTACAAGTAAGTTCCTGAAGCAAATTCATTACCATATTTGTGCATATGCAGTGTTAAACACATTTTCTAATTAAGCAGTTTTTTAAAAGCCCTAACTTTAAGCTAGACATTTTAAAAGTGTCTTCTGACTTTCAGAATGTACTTTCTAAGAAATATACAAGTTCTATTGCTTAGCACAGACACCAATTCAAAAGTCAGATATAATTCCAATAATACAGAGAATACTGTCAGGTTCTCTTTGTGCTGGCACAGGTACTCAAAAGCAGAAAAGTATTCCACTACTCGCTGTCAAAGACAGGCACAGATTAAAATACAGTTGAAATCCTGACAGTTCAGAAAAATAAATTTTCTTACAGCACGGATTCTTGGCCTGCATTGCTCACACTTTGGCTGCACATTCCTCACCTGTTCCAGGTGTCTTTAAAGTTCCTGGGGTGGCTGCTGTTTTCGTCCTTGGTGTGGTAATGCCAACCTGAGCTGACATGCCCCGTCTCCAGGAACCTGTCTGCGAAATGACTGTGTTCTTCCTCCCAGAGGTGCTTTTATCAGATTCATCAGAGACATCAGACGGATTCCTTCTCCATCTAGATCCAGGCTCCATCTTTACACCACTGTCAGAGCCTCCATCCGATTTCTTTATTTCATCGCCAGACCACAAGGAATTTCGTTCCACTTGAGAATGCTTTTCAGCATCCGTCTGAAGGGAAAAAGAAAAGCATAAACTTTCACTTCAAACTTTTCCTTCTTCTAGGATCCAATGATTCTTGCTTGAAATGTTAACTTACTCTTCACGATTACACTCTAGAGCTTTTCATTATTCTTTATTTGGTATGTTTTTTAAATAACAATAATAATAATTACTACTTTTAAAATCCCAAATCAAACAATGAGTTATAGTGTATATAGTTCAGTTCTAGTATGTTTAAGCAAATAATAATTAAACACTAAATAATCACAGACAGAAACAGAATTTATGAAGGTCAGAATTCAAACCGATGCATCTCATTGCCATGAAGCTTCCTCTTCCCTGCATTCCACACAGTACCTTTCACACTGCAAGGCATATGCTCACTTCAATGTGTGTTGTATGAGCTTTTCCTTTGTTCTGCCTTCCTATCTCTTTGCTGGCAATTTGATCTGTGGAGCATGAAGAGGCAGCTTTTTGCAAGACTGAAAGATAAATGAGTGCTTTCTGTTTCAGCCTCACACTAACTTTATTATCAATGGAGGTGAGAATTTCTTCAGAAGTGGAAATGCTTTACAACTCCTGCTGAATAAATTTAAATTTGTGATGATCTAGAATTACATACACCAGTTTATTTACTCAACACAATACATGTCTCTCTTTTGTTCTATACTTACGTTCCTGATTAGGGTCTTTCCAGGGCAGAACTAATACCAGGTTCCCCACCCATAGTGACCAAGGGGAGGGACCATTTGCTGGCATATTCTTTATCTGTACTCTTTGTTTCACTTGGACTGGCTCCATGTTCTATCTGAAATGATTTGCAATTCAAATTCCACACATGCAGACTTAACACCAGTGCCAAAATTAAAGGAAAAAGCTGTGAACCTGCTGCACATATGGGAACCCAAAAACACTGATGCTGGGAGAATCTGTACCTTTGGGCACTCTTTTTCCTGCCTTAACCTTTTATTTCTTACCCTGTATATGCATGTGAACATGTGTTCATGTATATATACACATGCATACACGTGTATATATACACATGTAACACTTCAAAATTGCATTCCTCTTTGCACAATTATCTGACATGACAATGCAAACTAAACTGATGTATTGATTCAAGTGTTTTGGCTAGCACACTTTCAATCTAAGGTTGTCCCTCCATCACAGGCCATGAAAGTGGTATAGGGGACATTTTTTGCCATAGGGGACAAAGAAGGGAAAAAATAAAATATTTTGTAGGGCCAGAGAGCGTTCCCTGAGAATTGGTAGCATTGACAGAGGTTCTTTTGTTCTCTTGCTTCAGAGCGTAAGAATGTAAAAGAAGACATGCTGGATCAGAGCACCCAGTCCAGCACTCTGTCTACATGGTAGCAAAACAGCTGTACACAGAATCCCTCAGGCAGGATGCCTACAAGATCTCCACCTGCCCAAGCTCCTCAGCAACTGCTGAATGTAAACAAGCTGCCTGTCTTTTAAACTTTTTTTTTTTTTTTGGAATCAGGCATGTTCCTCAAAAGAAGCCATGTCTCCCCCCCCCCCCAAGCCACATCTTTCCAGGGTTCCAGACAACAACATTCCCAGTCCTACCTGGAATTCATAACATAGCATCACTCAGGGAAGTCGTTGTGAATAAAGGAGTCACTGCTGACACTTTTCAGCCGAGCCTCTCCATCCTTGTGAACATGTTGCACTTATCCAACTATCCCTGCTGCTATATTGTCTTCCCTTCTTTTGCACCCCACAAAACTCATCAAGGTTCCACCCAGAAAAAAAAATCACAGCAGAATGTTTAAATTGATCCAGCTCTACATTTAATTGCATGTACCTAAGAAAATGAGTTTCTACTATGCCCTGCTGGCTGGATTTTTCCTGGATTCTATTCATGTGTGTGTTTAGAAGGGCACCGATTTTAAAAATACATGTTTTTCCAAATCAAAAATATGTATTTTGTTGTGAGCTGGTGCCTTCTCTCTTTCTTTCTGGTTAGCAGAATCAAGACAATCCTTTGAAGTGAAATTCTTTTATCCAAACACATCAGATATTTGAACAGTACAAACTCTAAACAGCCTTCTACCAAAGTTGAGGGAGAAGCATCTACCTATGTAAACAGCTGAATCCAAATGAGAAACTTCCCGCTCTGTCCCTCCCTTACAGTAAAACTTCTGACTCCTCCCTCAGGGTGGCTCTTCCTGCTTGAGGGCAAGGCAGCAGGAATGTTGGAGAACTGGGCAGCTCATATCACCTCCTTCTTGGGTCAAGGACTGGGTCTGGCATCTGCTCCTCTTCCCATCCTGAAACCCCTTCTGTCCCTTCCAAAGCAGGGCAGTTATTAAGCTCTGCCTGACAAACTTCACTAGATAACCTTGAAACTTCAAAGTCTTTGTTCCTACCTCCTCCTCAGAATCAGATGACTCTATCTGAAAATCTGTAATGAATGAGATATGGGCCCACTCTCTACACATTTATTGCACATGAAAAGTCTGAATTTGGGGAGGAAATGCACAAGTGGAAGTACAAATATGCACTTTTGAGCCCAAGTGCAGCTTCAGGAAATTGTGGAAAATTCCCAAGAATTACTTTCCTGCTGGCATTCTTGTTCACAATATAACAAGACATGCTCACATGACTTGTAAACAGGTACAAGGGATGCTCATGCATCCTCAGTTTTATCCAACATTTTCCATCCATTTATGGAAGCCAATTCAATTGAAGGAGCAAACTTAAAGTAGGAACCATGCAGATATAAAAGCAAAGACTATTTTTTTTTTTTGCGGGTCCACAAAAGCTCATGCCAGAATAAATTTGTCTTTGTTGCTTTATATATGTCAAGTTTTCTTAAAACATGACAAATTTAAATTTGGCTTGTAGCTTTCACTCCATTACACCAAAAATCTTGAATCAACCCAATTAAAGATTCTTCCTGTTCCAATGGGCAGGGGATAATCAAGATGTATCTCCTCCCATCAAGACAATCCCATTATCATTGGAAAGATAATCATGAAAATGCCAATATCCCTCTTAGGAATTATATCACATTTCCACAGAAGAGTTTGCCATACATTTTGTAAATTCTGGGAATACTAATTTATTCTTCAAAATGCTATGCATGTGTGAGGAAGAATAGTTCACATGTAGCTTTTTCTTTCTTTCATTATAAGCAGCACTTGAAAACCTCAGCATATATTGTCAGTGTCAGAGCATGGTGCTAGCAATTTCCAGCACAGTGGAACTCTCTAAAATACATCTGGAGGCGAAAGTCTTTCATGCAGCCTCAACTATGCACACCATGGCAAAGGAACAAAGGATAATAAGATCCTTGCTTCAGAGTACTCAAGGCAATTTAACACTTCATGGCAAATCCACTGTTACATTATAAAGTGCTATTAAAATAGCTTTAGATCCTAGTTTTAAAAAGTGTGTGTTGGGGGAAGGATGTGAATAGCAACTACACAGAAATGTTTCCAAAGCATCAACTATTACAAAGCATAAACAATTTAAATTTCATTTGTGGGAACCCCAAGATGTGATCCCCTAAAGCAGTTATACACATAATTAGAATGTATTAGCTATGGAACAGAGAGCAAATCAGAAAGCAAGAAAAAAAGAAAAGCATCTCGTGGTAAGAAAATAGCAGAAAAATTATAAATTGCACACTGATGCAAAATTCTTTACTGTGTTTAGGCTAGTAAAGCTTGATGAAAGCCACCTACAGACATTAAATACAATTTTCTTGAGATAAGCTGCCAAAAAATGGACAGCTTGTTACAACTTGCAACCTTGGAAAATTAGAATGCGTTTCATTAAGTAGCACATGCTTACATTTCCACTGAAAGCATAATCATCTTTAAGCTTTTATGTAAACTTAATTAAAATTCTACTCCTCAACAACTACTACATTTTACATTTCCAATTTCAGTATGTCTTATTCTTTTTAACATTTGAAACAGAATTGTTACCTCACAGTGAAAACCCAAGAAATAATAAATCCCTAAACCAGAAAAAAATGCATTCTTTTACCATTTCTAGTGTTGGAATAATTCACCCTGTCCACACACTGTGTGTGTGAAAACTATACTATATGTTCTGCACATACATATGGGATCTCTAAGCAGTGCAAGTTCCTAATTGCACATATATACTCTGCATGTGTACATCAGTTGTTACTAGGCAGCAGAATTATAAACATTTGTTTAGAAGTAAATCTCATTGTATTTAAGACTGCAGTCTTGAAGTCCTACAATGATTTAATTCTCCTTTGGTATAGGCAACAATTTTGACAGGCTGATATGCTTTTGAACGAAATGAACACCACTGGCACTATTGTAAGATGCCTGAAATTGAAAGAGAGACTTACCTGTGAATCTAGGTTCTTGCGAGAGGATGCAGGTGTGTTGGCATAGGAGCTGATAGAGGAGCTTGTGTTAATGTCATCGGTGCTGAGGTTGTCTATGGTGTCACTGATTCCACTGCTGACAGAACTGCTATCATCCCAGCTACAGAGAGAAAGAGAAAAAATACTTAAAAATAAAATACACAATTGCCACAGATACTTGACAAAGTATATACACAAGACAGCTTTAATTTAACTCACTGTTGGTATTAACTGAGAGATAGCCAGAAAACCTTCTCAACTTTTTTTGTTGTTATTTGTGTTTTTTTGAGGTTTTTTTTTTTTTTTGGAGAGGACTATTAACTTATACAAGTTTTAAGAAGCCTAAGGATTTTAATAAGCTTTTTTTTTTCAAAACCCAAAACCATGTTAGTTTACCGTAGAAAACTGACATAAAAGCAGAAAATATGTGATAATGTGATGATTTGGAGAAGGTTAGGTAATGAAAGCTATTCTGGATTTTAAATTAATTGCTCAGAATTTATTATGTCCCTACAGTATTCTGGCATACTCTTATTATATAAGTTTTATATATAATTGTTTAGAACATATTGCACTGGCTTATTGTAGTTGCAGTCCTGTGCTGTCTCTTCAATAATCCTGTGCAATTAATTTTACTTATTTCACAGAAGATGGACAAAATTAGAGGTTTTCTGCACACCACATACTGAGTCTGTGACAGCAGTGACATTCTGGAATTCAAAATTCTCCATACCAGTTGCAACAGTTCCTTACTTGGGCTTTCATTCATTTAATTCAAAATTATCTGTGAAGTTATGGCAAACATTTCTTTTCTACCCGAAACATTAGTGTCTATGAAAAGCTTCTTATGATTAGTTACTCCTATGAAAAAGCATGAAACACTTATATTGTTCATCATGTGGGATTAACACATGAGCCTCTATTTGTTGTGCCTACATGCATAAACAGAGAGTGTGCACTGTATGCTCCAGATGAGAGTTCGCTATTTTCCCCCCAATGCACAAGCATTTTTGTGTAGGAAACAGTGTAACATGTAAAGTGTCCCTTAGGAAGCAGAAAGGATGGTTTAGAAAATAGCAGCAAACAGATGAAGAATATCTTTACTGGTTAAAAGAGGAATGTGATCTCATACATAAGGCCCCCAAAAAATGTATTTTAGCACAAACCATTCCTCTTAAGTGTACCTGACAGGATGACATGCCCTTTCAGCAAGCTTCTCAACACCTAGACTTGCAGTATTACTTCTAAATTGATGGGCTCTGGGGGAAGGAGGTGAAGTAGAAACTCATTCAGAAGCTGCCAGCTGGCTTCAGTTTCCAGAATTTCAACCAATGACTGATTGTATCTCTCAACTACTAAATAATCTCACCAACCTTACACCAAATGCAAAACAAGGAGTCACTATTTAAGACATGCATCTACAAACAAGAACTTCAATTTTAAATCCTTGGAACATTTCTAGCGTAGCAAATAGCAGAGTTGTGTAATATAAAAGCTGTAACTGATAAAGTGTAAACTAAATTAAATATGAACTACTAACACAGAGATTTGGAAACAAGTATTTAATATTTATAAAGTCTTCAGAGAGGCCCTAGAGAATTATTAGGGACTGACCCAGCTGTTTGCAATATGTTCTGCGACATATCATACAAAGAACAGCTGGGACAGACACACTCTATACACATCTTCCTGGGATTAAGTTTCACCAGTTACAGTGGAACTCACACAAGACTAAGGTCCAATTCAGATGCAGTATTTCCTTTCTCCCAATAATACTTGCAGGCTTCCTGCTCCTCTCTTTCTCACACATAAATTCTCACCATCCTTCATACTCTTCTCCCTACTCCATCATCCATTCTTCTGTCATGTTGTTTCACCAGTGGCCTTCAATAATCATAAGAACCGGGGCCCATTTAGTATCGGCCATGCTTCTTTTTTGTTAATCACAGTTGATGGAGGCAAGTTTTATAAATCAGCAACAGGTAACATGTTCAATATATCTTGATCAAACAGTCCCACTCACTCTTCTAAATACAGACTGGAAGGGGGGAATCTAGGAGCCAACATATGTAGAGACATAACTAATTGTAGTAAAAGCCAGCTGTGATAATCAAACAACACGTAAGAGATGAGTAGTAGGAGGAGCCATGCAACACCATCCTCATGATTAGAAGACTGGTTTCTAAAGGAGTTCTCATAGTTGTAGTTCTCCCTAACTACAACCATGATACTGTATCAATTGAAGAATAGCCCCAAGGATGCACACAACAAACTTCCTTAGGGCTACTAAAACATTCCAGAGCTATGCAGTTACACACAATCACTCTTTTCTTTAGCACAAAATGGTACATTACATCTGTTTTAGACCACTTCATTATATAAATTAGTTTAACTTTTTCCCATGCTTCTGAATCACAGTGGTTAAATTCAAAAGAGAAGAGAAAGAAAGGGAAATGTAACAACCCTGTGAATCACAGCATTCCAGATTCCACGAGCAATGACAGGATCTTTGTAATACAGCAATTAATAACTTCTGATGTCAACAAAAATCTTCTCAGTCATAACTTGAGACCATGTGCATTTCATTTTATTCACTTGATCAATCAAATGAAATCCACTTTGGATGCTGGAAATTATGTGAGTGCTTTGAGACATATTCATTTTGTCTCATATTCTATATTAATGGGAAGTACCATTTTTAAAGGACCGAAAATAAAGTGGAAATAAGATATTACATCTGGAAAGTAACTAAATGAAGTCTCTTTAAATAATTATAAAAACTATTCATATGGGACTGAACTCCAATTACACATGCACATTTCTACCAAGCTATCCTACAATTCACTACAGGCAGTCCCCAGGTTACAAGTTTGTTGAGAAAATGGAAATTTGTCCTTAAGTCAAATGTATGCGTAAGGTGGATCATGTATAGCTGTTCCTCCACATCTGTGAAGGTTAGAGGTACAGGACCCCTGGGAAAATTGCAAATATTTCTTACCCGGTCCCAACCCATCAGTGCCTCCTCTCTGCAGCAAGGAAATGCTGGAAAGATTTCCCTCATCAGATGAGTGGGTCGACAAGGTGTGTTCTGGATGTCTCCCTTGCTACCCTGTCACTTTCCCTTTCTCTATGATAATACTTTGGAGGCCCTCCCTTTCTCCTCTTTTGTTTCTGCTCTCTCTATGGTGATGATGATTTTCTGCAGTATTTTTTTTTAAATAATAGACTGTATGGCAATTCATTCGTAACTTGGACATTCCTAACTCAGGGACTGCCTGTAGTTTCAAGTGCCAGGTGAAAGAAGATTTGACCTTTAGTGTAGTTTAACATGGCATTGCTGAATCTTAACAAAATTATGTTCTGTTTCAGTCCCAAAGCCCAAAGTCAGGAAAGCAATCCACCTGCAAATAGTAGGGCAGGAGGAGATCCAAAACTCCCAGATAAGTCAAGATTTTAACTGCTGGATTCCTAGCATGCACCATGCGTGGCAACCAAGTAAGTATATTTGCAAAAGTGCTATCTTACAAAGGGAATTATAAATGTACGAACTACTAGAGCAACCAGCATTAAAAGCACAGACTGATATATCTTTAGTAAGCAGCATTTAACCAAGTAACACACTTGGCAGTATATTTTAACACGTTTAAAAATACTGGGTAGGTACCAGATTTAGTCATATTGAGAGTAGATTCACTAAAACCAGTAGGATTTCTAACATAGTTCTCTTGGAGTTCAATAGCCTACACAAAGTGTGGCGCAAGTCTGGATCCAACATATTATTCACTTAAATATCATGTCTTTCTTTGGTTTACTAATTATTCTTTAACCCCAGCCTTTCCTTTAATAAGGCCTGGCCAAAATACAGCCTCTTATTTTATCCTGACAAAAATCATGTGTGAGAGGTAAAGCTGAAAGGTACTACTTCCCAAGCCACACACTGAGAAAAAAATGGAACCTAGGGTCCAACTGCAAGCTCAGTGCTCTAACCACAATAGCACACTGCCCCCAAAGCTTACGACTGCTTAGATGGTGGTGCCTCCCAAGCACTGAGCCATTACATTTTTCTTTTCCCAAATTTAAATTCCACAGTAGTCAACAGCTTTACACTTGGCAGCAGGCGATATTCAAGGCAATGTGACATGTACATGTACATTTGACAGTGATGAGATCGGAATGAGTATGTCTCCAAAATATGATATGCAAATTGCAGATTTCTGTTAACATGTTTCAAAGTAGTTCACCAGTGAAAAGCTGGCCTCTGTTAAGGTTCCTGAGCTGGCAGCTGCTCAAAAGGGTATTGTTTTCTGCCCATAATATCACATTCCTGCCATGCCAAAAAGGCTGCTTACAAACCTTGCCAAATTCTGCATGCTCCCTGCAGCCAACCACAGGAATTCGGCCCTTTTAGAAAAGCAATATAACAAAAAGGATGCTTTACAAGGGCAGTTTGTGGAATAAACAAACTCTTTTCCTAAACATTCAAGTGTAACTACCCAGCACAATCCAGCCATTCAAGCTATGCAAAACCCAAAACCACTGGCATACACACCACTGACAAAGGTAAATTTTATATTGTAGAGTCTGTCATTTTCCTCCCAAGAACTTTAATGATTGTTTAGATGGTTTGTCTGAAACTGTTTTCTGGGAATGGACAAGTGCATTTCCCCAGAAACAAAAATCTTACATGTTTGATCCACTATCAGGTGCTTTTAAGCAGCCTACTGAACTGGAAAGTGGCACAGGGTTCCTGTATACCAAGGAAGTCTCATCTTAATAGTTGGAGTTTAATTTGGAACTCTCTGTGTAGTTCAAGAACAAAGGCTATCTTACATTACAGGAGGAAGGAGGGGGAGAAAAGTAGTGCCTTAGGGCAAATGCAGCATTTCAACTGGAAACTTGGCGATTACCCCTTTCTTTGTAAAATATTACGTATGCATTTAGATACAGAACTTCAATTGTAGATACAGAACTCCACAGCATAAACTAGAACTCTTAAATTCTTCTGAGAAGAGAAAAGCCACAGAGCCTGTTTAATTGTACTATAAAACAAAAGATTTCCATTGTTTTCCTTTGGGACTCTCCCAGTTACTGACATCATGGTATGAGGAATTTGAGGAACGA